CGGTGAAAAGTTCATTCAAACAGATGTTTGTCCACAAGCTGGAGACGCCATCTTAGATTTAGGTTGCGGTACAGGAGAGCTGTCTGCATATCTGGCTGAACTTGTAGGACCCGAGGGAAAGGTTGTAGGTGTTGATCCTGACAAGGAACGAATTCTACTGGCTCAGCAGTCCTATGTTGAGGTCAAAAATCTCTATTTCGTGGAAGGAAGCGCTTTAAAATGTTAATATGTTAACTTCTAATTGTTAATTATATTGATCAGCATCATGAATCAATGGCTGTTTCGTGGTTAGCTAAATAAATATATATAGAGGGCCGTTATCGGATCTATGACTTTGTCCAATCTAATAAGTAGACATTTTTTATTTCAACGAACACAACAGATCGTTTTCAATATAAGAAAAATATAGAGATTGTGTCTGCGACAGTTGAGCAGAGGAGAAAGTGACCAGGAAATTGTTTCATAGAAGTTGAGTGATTTCCATTCAGTCAAACGAATGACTCTGGATCCCTTTTAGAATGAAAAGCAAAACTCGTTATTGTTTTCTATGTACTGTCGAACCACGTATTTTAAAAGCGGCCGCCTTCGAGGGAAATGGGAGGTTTTGTTCATGGATCGTGTACTTTGATTAGTATTTGCTATTGGGTTAATGCTTAGTGAATATGGATTCACGTCAAGAAAATCACTATAAACCTGTGTTTGAAAGTTTTTAAAAGTCGCTCTTTTTTCTTTTGACTCATATAAGCCATCGCCTTGTCCAAAACAAAGCCAAACTGCGCGGGTTAAATTTTATACATCTGTAATCTTCCCTGCTGTGAATTGTTTTGGACTCTGAAGCTCGTCATGGAGACCACAAGTTTTCAAAATCCTAGGGCAGCTCTGAATAAGTTTTTTCAAACTGTTGGCTTCCTTCTGCTCAGTATAGTTTGATTAAAATAAACGATTGAACACATGTGAAATAAAGCCTGCCAACAGAGGCGGAGTTTCGGCGGCGTGAAGCAAAAGCCAGAAATCCGTCTGCGCGGCCGTCTCGATTTTAGAGACTATGCCCTATTTTTGAATCAAATAAAATTGAANGATTTAGGTTGCGGTACAGGAGAGCTGTCTGCATATCTGGCTGAACTTGTAGGACCCGAGGGAAAGGTTGTAGGTGTTGATCCTGACAAGGAACGAATTCTACTGGCTCAGCAGTCCTATTTTGAGGTAAAAAATCTCTCATTTGTGGAAGGAAACGCTTCAAACTTCCCAGGGATTGGGTCGCAGTCGTACGACATTGTTTTCAGTAATCAAGTCATCCACTGGATCCCTGACAAAGAAGAAGTCTTCAAGAACATGTTTGAAAGTGTTAAAAGTGGAGGAAAAATAGCCGCTCGCTACATAGAGCATCTACCTTCTTTTGTTGTAAGTGCTTATAGGGAGCTCAATCCCGAGAACACAGAGCGACTTTGCGAGATGTTTGAAGGCGAAGAAAGGGCTACGATAGAGCAATATTGTTCGTCAGCGGGATTCCGCATTACTAAAAGCTATGACTTGCTAAGCACGCAACTTGTTTTCCAAAACATCTACAGCCTTCTGAAATGGATTTGGACGCTTACACACGGTGTTTTTGATCCTAAGCTGGCTACCGAAGAACGTTTGCAGAGATATTATCCGTACGCCAGCCGGAATGGTAAACCACCATTTGACTTCAGGGGAATCAAAGAGGAATCGGCTGCTTGTCACTTGATAGCAGTAAAGCAAGCAGGAGATAGCTATAAACATTGCATTTGAACCATTGTAAATAAAGCTAGAATTGTGAGCCATGTCGAAATATTACGTTGTTCATCAATTTAGTTTGCCGAAGAGAACAGGCGGTAAGAGTACAGAGCGCTGTGCGTGATAAACGAGCGTGAAGCGGGATAGCAAGGCGTGGAGTGGAATACGCGAAGGTGGAGCGGAACATATAGGCGTGATGTGGGATACAGAAGTATGAAGCGGGATACACGAACGTGGAGTGGGATACGCGGGCGCGGAGCGGGATGCACGAGCGTGGAGTGAGATACACAGGCGTGGAGTGGGATACACGGTCTTGGAGCGAGATACACAGGCGTGGAGTACTTGAGATCATTTGTGAAGTTCCAAGTAGCAAAACGAATGTCTGCATACGCACAGGTCCATCTCTATTCACGTAGCTCTATAGCTTGTTGCCGATTAGGTATATTTAAGTCGACGGTTTTAAAATGTCCACATACTCGTTCAAATGAAAGGCCACCAGTCGGCCGGTCAAGGGGGAGGAAGATTGCGTGACGAGCCCAAAGAGCGTCTGCTTCAGAAGCAGAAGTCAGAAATCCGGCTGTGTTTGCAGGCTATAAATTCTATAAACAAGGCCTTCTCGATCTTAACAGACTGTGCTCTATTTGTGAATCTAATGAAATTGAAGATGAATCTCACTCGGCTTTCTTACGTATTGCATTAAATACTATATTCTTAGAATTTTATAGAAAAATAGAGAATATCTTAGTTTCCGTCTTTTAAACAACTATCTTTTACAATCCATTGACGAACTTACGACTTCTACATTCATTTTATCTTGTGATAAGTGAATAAAGATGGTAAATTTTAAGCTCGGTAATGAAATGTGAAAAGTGAACTGATCAACATGACACGAGCGTGGGAAAAAGAAAAATTCAGGCTGAGTCCATGAGTTCTTGTAGCCCAGTGGATAGAGCGCCCGCCCTGTGTTCTGGAGGTCATGGGTTCTATCCCTGTCAGGGACTCAGAATTTCTCTTTGTCCCACGCTCGTGTCAAGTTGATCAGTTCACTTTTCATTTTATCTTGCTTTGATCTACGCAATACTGTTCTATTAAATCAAACCGATGCACCGTGATTGCTATTTCATAACCTTCTTATATGTTCACGATAACCATTATTGTTTGAATTTTAGTTTACCAAAACTTTTGCAACACTGTATGTATCATGCAAATAAAGCAAATTGTTTTCAAAGTCAAAGGTGTTCTTAAAGCCTCAGGTTAGAGGCATGCAAAAAAACTCCAGATTCCCTCGTTTTATTCTCGTGTTTCTTGTTACATTGTAGTCAATTCTGATCATTCGGGGTAAACATTAGGATATAGCATTAAGCCTGAGAATGTTTATGGACTGATTCTATCTCTCTCTTACTTGACAGCTATCAGTCGACAAACACCTGACCCCCCCCCCCCCCCCCCCCCCCCCC